AGAGTAAGGTGTATGGTTTTGAAAATTGGACTGAGCTAGTTGGTCGGACCAATTCGACGAAAAATCAATCCTTAACTGATTCGATTGATTTAGAATCAATTGAATCAGTTAAGGATTGATTTTTCGTCGAATTGGTCCGACCAACTAGCTCAGTCCAATTTTCAAAACCATACACCTTACTGATCTTAAGAATCATTTGGTAATGAAATAGCGAAAATCAGAAGAACCAAGATAGTGTTATAAAATTATGATTATATATTTATTTAATATTATTTTTATATTGATAATAATAATTGTGACACTCTCTATCTCACATACGTATTACACAATAAATATAATGTACATTTCTTGAGTAAATAAAACTTTCTTAATCAAAACAAGGTTCCAAAAGACATAGATAGAGAGTTCACATTCATATTTCACAAATCGTAGTCCAATGCAGAAATGATGACAAAATAAAACATTAGTCTTTCCAAAACACAATAATAGTATGTTGCTAACATTCATCAATGAAATTAAGTTTTGAAAAAAAAAACTAGAAATCAATATCGTCTTTCCTTACAGTGTAGTTATTCGATGCCGTTTTTGTAATACTCGAGTAACTGATGTTCAGAGTAATAGACAACCTAATACAGAAGTTACTACAAAAGGCCCGTACTATAAATTTTATGCTTTGGATTGTTCTAAAATCAACAGACCATATAACGCAGTTCGCAAGGCATGCATGCATTCCTATTTTAAAATTTTTCAATTTAGTATTATAGTGCTTTGTGATTTTGTGTGGGAAACCATATGAGGAATTAATTAGGGACATGATCTTTTGATGAGAACCTTTATGTGTGTGACCTTATAGGATGATTATGAAGATGTGAAATGTGATAAGTGATATGAGATATGATAAGACATGATAAGTGAAATGTTGAGTCAATGAAATAGTGAATGTGTGACATGCATCATGTGCATATATGACTCTAGCTGTGTCACTTAGGCCACATGCTAGTGATGTATTAACCTATTCCAGGTGTGCTTCTTAGGGCCCATTAGAACTAACCTTATAAATTCTGTATGACTTTTACATACAGGATAACATTGGACCACTCCTTTCCTCAAAGTTCCCACCATTTTGTGATTTATTGTTATGAAAATACAGTGTTGTTATGAAAAAACATGTCTCTGCCCAACCACATTGTTTTATTTGATTCAGAAGAACAAAAATTGAGGAACCTTTTAATTTCATTCGATTATAGAGAGGTAATTAATAAGACTTCCCTAAGTTAATTATTAAATGGTTTTCTGATGCTTAATACCGGCAATTTGTCCTCTATTTTCTAACATTGGGATTCAACAACAGGAAAAAAGATTTTTTAATGCTCACTTCAAGGTTGATCGTGATCTTCAAGCTTCAATTGTTGTATACGTTCGAACAAGATAGCAATATTCACCTATTATGCAGCAAATTTGGCATCGTGCCAGTTCATTTATCATTTCTTCCCGTAGCTGCACTCCAATTTTAATTCTGGTAAATTGATCTCTCTGAGATGACTTTATGTTGTTTCATGTCTGTTAATTTATTGCTTACCAGGAAATTTTGCAGTAGACAGCTTGTAAATGCCTTCTATATTTTGAGATGATCTATTTTTTTTCTTAAAAAGATGAATTACACCTAGTTTTTGCAATTCACAAACAATTCAACTTTGTTTGCTTCGTTTAGGTTAGGTCACAAACCTCTTTACTCAATTGGTACCTAAACTGATGGCATTTATATTTTCTCCTGGAGCAGAACACAAGTTGGACTCCAACTTATCCTACATTCTCTACTCCCTTGGACTTTATTTGCGCGCTTCTCTCAATGGCATTTACTACTTCAAATCACAAATCTGGTGATGCAAGTTTCACGCAATCCTTTCTGACAGCGTTTATCGCTACTAATCTTGTATTGCTCTCTCTTTTTTTTTTTGTGGAGAGGGAGGGAATAAAACATAGTTGTAATTATTCTTCAGGTATTCCTGCTGCACATCTTTTATACATTGAATTGAACTATTGAATGTTTCCACCTGGAAATGACTTCACTTGTGTGATTGTGTATGAAATGTGTAAAGACGGACTACATATGCTCACGTGTTGACAATGTAGGTAATTGTTTGTGATTTGTTTGAATTCTGTCTGCGGATCCTCGAGCAAGTGAGATATTGTAGGTGACTTTTGTTCTTATTATTGTTAGTAATATCAGATGCTATCCTTGTTAACAAATCAATAATTTTAGCTTGTCAGTTTGAGATAACTTGACTGTTTAAGTAAATCCCTGAATAATAACTTTTTTTAAAAAAATAACAATTCGCATCGTGTTAGGAAGGTAATTCATGAAACTACACAAGAATATATGGGTATCTATCACATGCTTACTCAGCTTGGATTGCTGCTGCCTGTGGCTTTCACTATTGCCGACTCGTATGATTTTTGTTGTTGTAAATTTTGACCCTGCTTTCACTTGTACTTGAAGTCTCTAGCTGAGACCCAATTTAGAGATTGTTATTGCTAGTACCTGTTAAATATGCATGCATTTTTTATGTGAGGTAATAATAGATTCTGTAAAAAATATACATGCTGCTAGCTCTTAAAAGTATAGAATCTAGAGCTTGGATTATAATTATATCATCTAGAACCTTCTAAACCCACTCAATAGTTGGTTAGCAGAATGTAACATTTCTTATTCTTAGAAATAAAAGCATGGTGTCTTTCTCCCATCTATATTAGCTATTTGCTGTGTTGCTGGGGAATATATCTTAAATTTTGCAGATGTTTTGGCACATGTAGCTGCTTTTTTGTTTGGTGAGATTAAGTTATCAACATTAGGAGGTTTTTTGTTTTTAATGTAGATTTCACATGCACTTTTAAGTTATTATTCACTTCATATTTTGTCATGTTTCATTTTATAGGGGCAGCCAATGATGATTTATGCAAGTAATTGTGGCATGCCAGTGCTGGTCCCCTTGTCACTCTTCCACGTGAAGGGGAGCGAGTTTATTACTTTCCTCAAGGTCACATGGAACAAGTATTTTGGTTTTAGAAATTTCTCATTTGAACATAGGAAGCAAAATGTATTTGCATGTCTGCAAAAGTGTACATGACAAGATAATGTTTATCATTTATAGGGATGAAAGTTTGTTTTAGTTCTTTAACATTCCCAATCTATAAGACATTTAATGGGCCTCCTTGTTTGTGGTATAAAATCATCATTTCTAGGTTTCCTTAGTCCATAACTAATTTTTGGACACTTCTGGACAAATTCATCATCATATTTTAATTGTTACTAATAGTTTACGATGGTTTTGAAGGAGTTTAAGAAGGATGAAATATATGTCAAAAGGCCTAGTTTATTCCAAAGATATATTTTGAGACTATTTTTCGCATTTACTATTAGTGAAGGTAATAGCAGATACTATTAGTTTGTAAGTTTATAAGTGTTTTTAAGATTTTTTTATTAAAGAAATATATTTTTTATTTGCAGTTGAGAAACCTGAAGTCCTTCTTGACTCAAAGACTAAATTCAAAAGACTATATTCTTATAATGCTCCGCAGCACCAAATGCAAGCTATAAAGCCCCTCCAAATCCTTCATTTTTCAAAGCTAATCTACGCATATAAATTCTTGTGAATATTGATAGCTTTGGTGCTGCTGGAGATGGAGAATCTGATGATACTGATGTAAGTTCTTTCATCGTTATTGTTGACACATATATTATATACCTGGTCTTGCAAACGCATATCGTTGTTTGTACTCTTTCAATTTGCTTAAGATGCACTTCATTCATTTGACAATGTTGAACATAGGTAAATGTTTTTGCCCAACTAATAGGCATCATTGATTGACCAGACTAATCATTGATTTTAATTTTTTTTATTAATATTTTGTTATATAAATTAGTCTTTGAGATTAAATTTTTTTTGTTAATGATAACGTGTGTTAATATATCATGTTATGATTGATTTAACTATTAATACCCATTTTGCTATTTAACATACGTCAAATCTTATAACACATCTATTTTTTTTCCTTTACCCAATGGTTATGACAGTAAAAAGTTGTTTTAATAATGTTTTTTATTTTCAAAAAATAATATTTAACTACAAGTAAATAAAAAAATTATGTTATGTGGTTTAACAGAAAATATGAGAAAAGTAAAAAATAAAATAAAATTTTGTGGTGGTTTAAAACCACCCGAAGTGCTAAATCAGGAAAAATTTAGATGAATTTTGTGGTGGTTTTAAACTCTCAGAAATTGCAAAACAAGTAATATTAAAATGCATTTTGTGGGGGTTTTGAAACGGCCACAAAATGATTGAATTTTCTGACACCCAGAACCAACATTTACAAAATATACGCTATAAACCATTTTTGGCAACTGTAGCTTTGGTGTTTATTAATGACGCTGGTAATACTATTTGCGGAGGTTTTCAACTCCCAGAAACTGTCAAAATAATCGTTACAAATTACACATTTTTTGTAGTTAGTAAAATATACATAAATTTTAATAATAAATATAAGAAATATATCCAAAAATATTTAATGTTTTTGCTAATTAAAATAAACTTCAATAATTAACAAGGAAAAAACAACTTAACTTTTAAAAAAAAGCAAAATCTACCATGGACTTATGACTTGTATGGTTCATGGATAGACCAACAAAACAAAAAGTGATTTTCATATAATTCACCCGTGGAAAAGTAAAACATATCGTTATATATGAATAATTAAATTGAACGATTTATATTTATTTAATAATAAAAATTTTGTTAATTAAAATAAACTTCAATAATTAATAAGAAAAAAATAAATTAACTTTTAAAAAAAGCAAAATCTACCATGAATATATGACTTATATGATTAATAGATAGACCAACAACAAAAAGTGATTTTCATATGATTGACCGATAGAAAAGTAAAATATATCGTTATATACGAATAATTAAATTGAACGATTTACGTTTATTTGATGATAATTTTTTTTTAATGTATTAATTTTATTTTCTAATAGTAAATAGTCATTGTAAAAAAAAAAAAAAAAAAACACCTCGTTACTCTCGATGAGCAGATCTGTGGCAAGTGCATTGCCATATCAAGCGGTGATAACTAGAAATAGCTTCTAATTTATTTTTAATAATTTTAAATAATTTAAATACAAAATAAAAATAATTAATATTTACTTCTCTACTTATATATAATATTGTTGTCATCACCTTAAAAAAAATAAAAAAAGAAGGTCACATTTAATACATTTTCTTAAACCCTATCAAAAAGTTGAAGTTATTGGTTCATTGGTTCGTTTAATGCATATTTGCTTAATATTTAAGCAAAGAAAGACAGTCCTAATGACCTAACTGAGTTGGACAAACAAGGTTTTCAACAAAGAACTCGCGATTAGCATTCTCTCAAATACAACACAGGCACCGACGATTTTCACGATTCTCTCTCCATCTCTATTTCGTGACAAGCGATTTTCTTCTCTATTCACAACCCCCGCCGGTAACTGGTATGAAATTATTTGCTTTTCGTCTCTCTGAGTAGATTCGCCTCTAAAAGTTTGAACTTTTAAGCCCCGGTTTTCTTTGGGTTTTGCAGATTCTGACCTAACTCTTTTCACATCTCATTTGGTCATTTCATTACAAGTGCTCATATTTCCATATGTTATTTTTGGGTATTCATTTTTGTGTATGAATGTGAATGTCACTATTGGGTTTATAGATTTTATGCATAAATAAGAGATATCATTTGCAAAAACTTGCTTGTTATTTTATGCAGGTGCTCTTTGCCACACTCGCAGGTTAATGCTTCATAGTGTTCTAAAATCAAGTAGATTTCTCTATCCACATAGAGAAACCCTTGGTTTGACCAGTACCATTAGTGGTTGTGTCTGTCATTCAGCATTTAGTTCAATGAAAGAAACCAATTCGAAAGTGGATTCTAGGGAACCCTGCATCACAGATTCTTTATCTGTCAGTGGGAACGGTGCCACTTCATCTATGAGTGTAAAATCCACCCCTGAAATTGAAAAGAAGTTCGTACATCACGTTTATAATGCCATTGCTCCACATTTCAGTTCCACCCGGTTCGCAAAGTGGCCGAAGGTTGCAGCATTTTTGTCGTCTTTGCCTTTGGGATCTCTTGTCCTGGATGCGGGGTGTGGGAATGGAAAGTACTTGGGTTTGAATGATGATTGCTTTTTTATAGGATGTGATATAAGTTCTTCCTTGATTAAAATCTGTTCGGATAGAGGACACGAAGTTTTGGTTGCAGATGCTGTGAATCTCCCTTACAGAACTGGTTATGGTGATGCAGCGATATCTATAGCTGTGTTGCATCATTTAAGCACTGAAAATAGAAGGATAAAGGCCATAGAAGAATTGGTCAGAGTTGTTAAAAAGGGTGGCCTTGTTCTGATTACAGTTTGGGCTGTAGAGCAAGAGGATGCAACGCTGATTTCCAAATGGACTCCATTGAATGAGAAGTATGTTGATGAGTGGGTAGGACCAGGAAGTCCTCGTGCTCGGGCCCCCTCATCTGTGTCATTAGAAAGTATTCCAGAAAGTGAGGAGAGCAGATCTGGCGAGCACATGAATGTTTGCAATGAGCCAAATGTATCAAGAGATTTGGAGGAAGAAAAAAATATAAAGAATCAACAAGAATACTTTGTTCCCTGGCATTTACCTTATCATCGTGCTGAAATCAGCGGTGCCTCTGCTGATGCTCTTGCTGCTGGTCTGGCTATTAAAGATGACAAAAAAGGTGCTGTGGTGTATAATCGATATTATCATGTTTTTAGTGAAGGCGAGCTTGAAAGGTAACATACCATGGCTTAGATATTGTCACGTTTGGTAACCTTGATCTTGAATGTTAATTGTGCTATGTTAGCATACTTTATATCTGAATCTAGAAATATGGATAATGCATGCAAAGTAAGATGGGATGGAGACGATAAATTTAGTAAAAGCTGTTCAAGGTTCAAACTTAAAACATAAAATTGCTGCTTGATTCTTGTCAAATGGAAATTTGATTTCCCCCTTATGAAATTGAGTTGCTATTTGTTAGAGGAATAGTTAAGGTAGAAGTCATGATATTTTTTGAAAATACAGGCCATGGTCTTTATAAGTAACAAAAAAGAGATTGAAGTGGGCAGTGTCATGCCATCATGTGTCTTCTTTACCACTTTTTTACCACTTTAATTAGTCAACTGGATCTGTAGGTGCATGGCAAATTTATGATGACCTTTTCATGTATTAGTCCCTTGTCTCTATGTTTCAAAATAAACATTTCAAATTTGAGAAAGAGTATAATGCAGAACTATGTATTAGATGACTTGACATGCTTATATGCAGGAAGCACGAGTTCTGTTTTCTAACTTATTGTCATATCTTTTTACAGATTGACAACTGGAATAAACAATGCTAGAATTGTTGATCAGTTTTTTGATAAATCCAACTGGTGTATTATTCTAGAGAAGACAGTATGACTAAGAAGAAACCTGGTGGATATGTCGGAGCAAAACTAGGCTGCTGCCCCTTTTGATTTTAAGTCCAGCTTATCATCCTTGAGGGGCAGTATAGGCCAGAGTGTAGTAGCTTAACAACTTCTACTATATTTATCTTGCAAGTTAACTTTGTCTGGCTTCTAACTTGCTATCAAATAAAAAAATGGAAAGCTACAGAACTTGAACAGTTATGATTCTCTGGCCATTTTATCATCGAGTTCATGCTGCATTCTTGAAGCAACCCCAAGTTTTTATTTATTTATTTATTTTTTATTTGCAAAGCCCAATTTTGGTAGTAACAACAGGGCATGAAGGACACCACTGTTATGGATGTGTTGGTGTCATAGCAGGCACTGTCTGCTCAAGCAATGATGAATATCATTTAGCCACCTACAGGAGCATTTTTACATGTATTGGACAATATATTTGACGGCTGGAATTACACTGTTTTGGCATGATCTGCGCTTCCGTTCAGTTTTAATGTAATTTAAACTTACAGGGCTAGCTTCAAGCTTCTTTTGTTTGATATCCCCTTTGTGATTATGGGATCAGCAGACAGGGCTGTGCACATTCTCACTTATAACTAATGGCAACAAAATCATTGCCCAATTTTTTCCACTTGAAACAAATAGTAGAGGAGAAATGCAGTTATTGTTGTAAAGGGAAGGAGAAAGAGCTCTGATCTTTTACTATGTCCTCGTTAAGGTTATTGCCGTGTTTTTCAGATTTTAAAAGACACCCTCTCCTTGAATTTCACTCCTTTGAAGCCCTTTCTAATTTCTGAAGTATAAAAAGACAATAAACGAATAATAAAGATAGGTAATATGTTGGACATTATTTCTGAATTCAAACATAATTAACTCGTAACTATATAGTGTGAAGTGTCGTACGAGTAAATCCATTTTGGATAAAATGTCGGACCTTTCAATTTTTGGACAAATTTGGTTTTAGTCTATATTTTAAAACGATAATTTGCTCTTCATTTTTAATAATATAATTGGTGAATTTTCTCTCGGCCTAGCATTCTAAATTCCAGAGACAATTTATTATTGAGGATCAAAATCATCATTTTCAAAATATAGAAACAAACTAGTTTGTATTGAAAATGAAGGGACTCGAAACATTTTACCCATTCATTTAAATCCAACCGTTAAAATAATTTTAAAAAAGGCCACCTAAAAAAGGCATTACTAGTTCAAGCTCTTCGCGCAAATAGAAAGCACAAAAAAAACAATAAAAAGCACAGGTAGTTGTATAAAGACAGCGCAAGCAGAACAGGAAGTAATGGAAACGTATTTTCCCCGGCCCTATTTTTGTCTCCTTAATCCTCGGGTACCTTTCTATAGACGAGGGAAATGTTATCATACGACATTGATTACCTTGGTGGTAATTTGTATAATAGAAAAAAAAAAAAAGTATTAATCCAAGTAACATTTACAGAACTGCGGAAGCCCAAGCTAGCAGTTCAAGCCCCAGTCATAAGGCTGATATGACACCTTCAAGTCGGAAGTAGCAAGCAGGTCCAACAATACTTCCGAGTCAGCTGGATCTAAGTAGTTTGAAACATGCTTTATCACCTCTACCTCGTTCTTGCCAAAATCTATACTGTACCTGAGAACGAACAAGCAGAAATAACTATTTTCACAATTTAATATCGCCAAAATAAAACAACTTTTTTCATTGATAAGTAAACGCGTGTACATATTTAAGTTTTAGATACAGAACAATATTGAACATCAGAATTGATTTTCACCAACATATTGTTCATTTGTATTTCTGCAAGATCCTTCATGTATTTACAAGTTCAAGTGACATTAGCCTCCAGTCAAACTTCAAAAATTAAATGGTGAAATACTTTTTGTTTGAACCATTCAGACAAGAATAGAATTTTAAAGGTTTGCTTTCTCACCGTGAATAAAATGTGCTAGTGCCTAGTATATATATTGGAAATTTTTGACGAGTCGTTCTTTGCTTAAATATACCACATATCACATTAATTATATTCAGAGTCCTCGGAAGAAAGAACATACCATTTAAGGATCTTAGTAGCATTTACAGCCTTTGCAGTCAAATCAATTACAACGCCTCCATTTCTCAAAAAATTACGGGCTGCATCCAATAACTGTTCGTCAATATTTCCAGGCGAGTAGCACCGAAGTGCAGGTCCTGATCGGGTACCATGAACCAAAGCAAAATGAATAAGAGGCTCAGGATAAGGAAGCGCCACCTGACAAATTAGAGCACCAAAGTAAGCATGCATGCTATTCAAGTAATATCATGATGAAAACATATATACCAAACAGCACAAGTTTTTCCAAATACAGGCAAATTAATTTCTTTAAAATGGACCGAGCTCGAGTCAGAAACTCTAAAATGTTTTTTTTTTAATAAAAAAGTCCTATATCCGCATGACCTTTATAAATCTTTAGGGCACGGCGGCCATGGCGGATATGGCGGACGCCACCATAAAACGCCAAATAACGGATGACAAATGGCAATTTGATTAGAGACCTTTACGCTATTATGTTATAACGAGGTTATAACCATTATTTAATAACATCGACAGAAAATGGAATGCAAACTAGTTAAACTCAAAAATATATCGAAAGCATTATCAACAAATTTAATATATTGACAACAAAATAAAAAGAACTAAATTGTTAACACTAACTAATGTAAGTATTAATAGCTTACCGCCGAGCGTTTATCTTTTCCCGAACAAAAAAGAAATCTATTAAATGAACTTCCTATGATTAGTTTACAGAAAGTGGAATGCAAACTAATTAAACTAAAAAATATATCGAAAATTTTATCAACAAATTTAATATATTGACAACAAAATAAAAAGAACTAAATTGTTAACACTAACTAATGTAATAAGTATTAATAGCTTACTGCCGAGCGTTTATCTTTTGCACCAAATGGCTTCTTAAGGTTATATGGTGGTCGCTGGTTTCCCCTCAATATGCCATTTTGAATAGCTGAAAGCGAGTAGGTTGATCCACCAATAACGTATTTGAACTCTCCAAACAATTTCCTTCTTTCCAGTGCTCCATCTGGATGGCCCAATATTATGATTGCATGGATGGCCATCATATTATAGAGATTAATAAAGAATGCAAGCTTCTCCTCTCTAGACGAGTCCGATATTTCCACTCTTTGTAGCTCTTCGACTATTCTCAAATACCTAAAACGATAATTGTATTGTATAAATAACAGTGGAAAATCTAGAAATAACTGAATGTATTATCAAACATTGCATGACACGTGTATGTTCTAACGGAAGGCAAAAGACAGAAAAAGTTAAAAGAACCTTGCGAACTCCTCACTTCCATGTATACTTGCATAATCAACAGAACGTCCATCTTCATAAGCATAGGCTTCAAACATCGCACGGGACAGAAACCTCAGCCTTGATGCAATTTCAGCTAAAGGCTTAGGCTTCAAGGTAATTATGCCTCTAGGAATGTTGTGACATTGTGACACCACAATTGGATCATCATCCAAAAACCGATACAAGTGATTTCCATCCTCAAATAGATTCTCACTAAAGCAAAACAAAAATCATTGAAAACCGGGAAGGATTATCAAATCTGTAACAACTAGCAAAACATAATTCAAACAATGGAAAGCGGAAACACCAAATAAGAGTACTAGGACTCACTCCAGAATATGTCGAATGAAGAGTTTTTCAGCAAGCTTTCGTGCAAACTCAACAGCCTAAAACACCAGACAACAATTAGAAAGGTAACAATGACATAAAATTTGAACATAAATGGGTTCTGTACGGGCATTAGACCCACTTTTGAGACTTGAGACCTAGCTTACCTCTGGCCTTTCCAAATATTGATCTTCTGATAAGAAGTCGATAGCTTCTGAGCCAAGAAAACAGTTAGTGAACCTGCGCATTTTGTACAATCGATCCTTCACTGCAATAGATTCTTTCATTTTGCGGACAATGATTGCCATTTCATCAACTGGTCCACTACTGGGCACATCATCCTCTCCAGAGAGAGGTGGAGATGGGGCTTCAAATAATGGTGCTTCAGCAATAAGAAAGTCAACCTTCTCATCAAGCCTGCCAGACTCATCTAGGGTCTTCAACTCACTCAAGCCTCCAATAAGTATTTCATTGAAAAAAACCTTGGGTACAGAAGTAGATCCAGAAATCTTCTCCAGCTCCGTCTTTCTACTGGGGTACACATCAATATTGATTTCAACATATCTAAGCCTTTTTATACGCAAAAATAGTCTAATCTCTTTAGATTCTTGGCAACCTAGTTTTGTGTACAGTATAACCCTCCCTTTCATGGATATTGAGTCCCTCTGATCAGTTTTGTTTCCCACACCAACGTCAGATGACTTCTTGATGTAATTTAAGGGATTCCAGTCAAATTTCTCCACTGCCTTCTCAGACACCACTTTGGTTTCACCAACTCCAGTGATGTCTGAAACATCCTTACCTTCATCATCAACAACTTCATCTCTTTTTCCAGAAAGGCGACGCATCATGGTGGAGACTGCCACTGCACCCTTCTCCTTAACAAAATTCTTGAGAGCCACTGCCTTCTCAACCACACCTGGAGAGTCCGGATCTACATCCGACCTGCGGCCAGATGTGCTCCGGTTAGCTTCCATCCCTGGAACCTCTGTTCCATCAAATACAGGCTCCAAATTGTGGTCCTCGCTTGGAATTTCATCTGATTTATCAAACATCTGCGTTGATTCCCTATCATCCACCTCTTTAGCCAACTCACTTTGTCCAGATTTATTATCTAGATTGGTTTCTTTATTTTTAGGCTCTAAATCTCCACCCGCACCCGCACCCGCACCCATCTTATCACCAGAATCCTCTTGCTTATCAGTACTAACTTCAGTTTCAGATTTGGTTTCTAACTTTTCTAGTTGAGTTCCAGATAGCAAATCTCTACTCTCATCTTCTCTCTTAGACCTTACATCCTCCACATCATTTATCTCATCTGATATATCATCTAGCTTATCGTCAAACTCAGGACCATCATGAACAATATTCTCAGGTTTCACCTCCTTTGATTGTTTATCCTGATCAATTGCCAAATCATCTACTCGCACGTTCTCAACAGCTTGAGAAGTTGCTCCATTCGTTTTCGCTAACTGTTTATTTTCCATGGTTAAAGCAAGCTAGAGTTCATATGATATGCTACACTCTAATCAAATAGACCTGCGAGACAAATCAGACAGCGTATACATAAATTAATTACAGTCTAGCGTAATCTAATGACTAGTTAAATAAATAAATAAAAAATACCGTAATCAAATCATATTCATCCACTAGACGAATAACAAATTGAAAAATACATCCAAAGTTACGAATTCAATTGAATACATTAGGACTCCTCTAGTTTTAGATCGTAACAGATGTTGAAAGTGTTGGATAGTCACAACAAGTAAAACAATTCCGATTCATTATCAGATCAAACACAGCAAACACAATTACCGTATTCCTGATCGATATTGTGAGCATCGGGAAATCTAACGGAAAAGCCATTCCCTAACAATACATATCGTATCCAGGAGTAATTACTTACGGAGGACGAAAGCATAGCATAGGCATATGAAGGAATCTATCATAGCATATGGCGGAAACGAGAAGGAAGAACTTACGGTTGCAGATCGGAAGGGAATGGAAGAACAAAGTTTATGGATGCGTTTGAAGAGAGTGGTTGACTGCAGTGCTTGTATTGAATTCAATAAATGTTAGACTGTTACTGTTCAAAGCTGAAACCGTAAGTCAGGTTCACAAAAGGGAGAAGCGGGAAGTTCACGGGGCGGCTGCGCCCAATTTTTTCCTTATATATTCCACCCAAACCATATCAAAACAAATTTCTCCTCATTTTCTTGCACCGAAAACTTTGCATTAAATAATAATGCAATGTAACACCCAAAATCTATCTATGAGTCAATCAAACACGAGTAAATAAATTATTGGTTTTGATAGCATTTTCAGAGTATTTTTCTCCAACAAGGTTTTTTTTTTTATTTAAAAAAAATTACCATTTTTGTCTCCTCCAATAATATTAAAAATTTTGGGGGACAAAAGAAAGATAATTTGTAGTTTTTGAATTATATAAACTGAACTAATTGCTCTAAGTTTGATCAAAGGTTTTGAATTTTGTTACAGTCCAAGTCTAATTTGGCATTAAACAGTTTTAAGACTAGGTAACATTGCTTGAATCCTTAAATATATATAAAAGCAACCCTAACACGCAGTAATTAATTTGGTCGTTTCAAAAAAAACATGTTTAATGAATAATTTTCTTAGTTGACTAAATTTGGAATCAACCAACCACCCCTCTTAAAAATTAAAAAACAAAACAACTACCACTTGAATAGCTATTTAATGATGCAAATATGTAATTTTTTTCAGTGATTAACTTGTTTTTTAATATTGTCCATTTATATAAAGTTATATTAAAAACAAATGCAAACATGTAATGTATTTTCTTTCAACTTTTTGTTCTCTTTCATTCTCAGAAAATAATGAGGACATCATAACACAAGCGATCCACAACTTCAGCATTCTACTCAGATTCTGCCAAACAACGAGGCAAATCATGTTTAGCAGAAAAATTATTAACAAATAACAACCAACAAAAGTAGATCCGCATAAACATGATTTGCTTAAAAAATTTAAGTGTATGCTTCTACGTGTGACAAAATAAATTTAGATCTGCATCCAGATAGAATAAAACAAAATATTGTTACTCGTGTTTTCCCTTGTTATTGATGTAAAAATCTTACTAGACACACTTACTGAAAGTGCAAACAAACACATGCTAGTGGCCGAACTAATACGTGGTAATTCGAGTTTTGGCATGAGATTTGTAATTAAAAATAAGTTTGCTTCTACTACCTGGCAACGGTGATCGCTGATTAGATAGGATTAAGTTTGAACTTTTTGAATATCAACAATGAAAAATGATTGTTTATTTGAATCCCTTTAGATTTACCTCATTTGTATGTATCTACCAGACCTAATCCATTTGAAGTCATGTCATCGAGTTTAAAAACTTAAGAATTAAAAGAAAATATACATCTTTATCACAAAATTAAATATAGAAAAAATAAAAATGGAATTGAAGATAAAGGTTCATTGAATATTTTTATATTTTATTATAAGTTGATTGGGATATTCGATTCAATTGATTTTACGTTAACGTAATATATATATATATATA